TGGTAAAGATGGTTTTTGGGGAATGGATCCCCACAGCAAGCAAAATAAAAAACAAAAACAAACAATTGTGATTACCTCAAATTAAAAAAATAACTTTTACACAGTGAAAGAAAATATAAGTAGATTAAAAAGATCCTACCAGCAGGAAAATTTATTATACATTACAAGGGGTTAACAGTGAAGATATCTATAAATACCTATACAACACAACAGTAGAAAAAGTAACAAAACATTTAATAAATGAGCAGTAGATCTGAGCAGACAGTTCACTAAAGAGGAAATCCAGAAGCCCAAAAGATACATGAAAAAACGCTTGTTATTGCTTTCAATAAGAAAGATGCTGTTTAAAACTGTGACAGAATCTCATCTCACCTATTAAAAAAGATCTTTAACAAGTTGCACAGAAGATGCTGAAAAAGAGAGAGCTTATTACACTGTTGGTGGGAATGTAAACTGGTGCAGCCATATGGGAAGTGATTTGGATTTATCTTCAAAAGTTAAAAATCGAAATGCCACACGACCCAGCCATCCCATCCGTGGGCATCTACCCAAAGTATGTGAAACCAGCAATTCAAAAAAGTATTATGTTCTACAATGTTTTACCGCTGCCTGTTTACAACAGTTAAGATGTGGAAGCAACCGAAATGCCCACTGATAGAAGATTATATCAAGAAGATGTGGTCCATCCACACTATGGAATACGGTTCTGCCATGAGGAAAGAAAATGCTAACATTTACAGCAAAATGTAGTTTCTAGGGAATTCTGGGTAGCAAAGCAGTCAGAATGACGAATACTGGATATTTACACAGCAGACAATATGACAAAATAAAATAGTTATAAGAACTAGTAGACATTAATAAACAAAGTAAGGTTTCTGAGGTAAATAGATGACTGGATCAAGAAGATGTGGTACATATATACCATGGAATATTACTCAGCATTCAAAAAAGATAAACACATGCAATTTGCAGCAACATGGATGGCACTGGAAGGGATCATGCTCAGCGAAATAAGCCAAAAAGAAAAAGAAAAATACCGGATGGTCTCACTCATAGCAGGAATCTAGAAAACTTAAATAAGGGACCAGGAAAATGAATATAAGAAAGTGAAAATCAAAATCAACAAAAAAACTATGAACCAGAGACACTTTTTGGGGGGTGGGGGGCGGGAGGGGAAGGATTGGGGTCAGAATGGGGCGTTTGCAATTGTATGGGGGAATATAAAAATAAAATTTAATATTTAAAAAAAAAAAATAAATAAAAAAAAAAATTTATTCAAAAGTCAAAAAAAAAAAAAAAAAAGAGTGGAGGAGAGAGCTAGCATTAGGGGGATATCACAGAAAGTGGAAGAGAAAAACAAATCATGGTGACCTCAGGCTGCAGTTCTAGCAATCAAGGTTCTTTTAAATTTTAAGAGGAATATTTGGGGTGGGGAAAGGTGCAATTTTGGCTGACAGTAGTTACAAGTTAAATCAATGGAAACATTTTTATTTATTTATTTTTTATTTTTATATTCCCCATACAATTGCAACCCCCTTATTTTGACCCCAATCCTTCCTTTCCCTGCCCTCCCCGCCCATAGAGTGTCTCTGGTTTATAGTTGTTTGTTGATTTTGATTTTTTCTTTCTTATAGTTATTCTTTTTCCTGGTCCCTTATTTAGGTTTTCTAGATTCCTGCTATGAGTGAGACCATCCAGTATTTTTCTTTTTCTTTCTGGCTTATTTCACTGAGCATGATCCCTTCCAGTGCCATCCATGTTGCTGCAAATTGCATGTGTTTATCTTTTTTGATTGCTGAGTAATATTCCATTGTGCATATGTACCACATCTTCTTGATCCAGTCATCTATCTTTGGGCATTTGGGTTGTGGAAACATTTTTAAATCTATGATACAATTTTATTTTAAAAACTAGTGAAATGCATAATACTAGATATGTGGGGGATATTTGTTAGCATATTTATGCTATGTAAGTATATTAATGTCAATGAGTAAGCAAGCAAATTAAAAATTCAAACTACAATGGTTATTGCATGAGGTAAGGTTATAAATTTGAATGGGAAAGGAGACAAGAGCTCCAGTTGGAGATATTTACCCCATGGGTTAGCATCTTGTTTTAAGAGCTGGCCTAGGAAAAGACAATTTCAGCCCTCTGTAATGTCAATCTTCCTTAACATCTCTCCCTTTCTCATCTCCCCCCTTCTGAAAATCCACTGGCCAATGAAATGAGTTGAGCATTTGAACCGAGACCATGGTTCTTTCTATCTTTAGTTGGAAAGACAAATGTGTACTGATACTGGTTCCCAGGGCTTTTTAAATATGTTGCATCTATTATACATAATTTTCTGAATTCATTGTCCCTCTGCCTGCAGACATCCATTCCAACCTCTCTCTTAGGAAAGTTAAACAAGTACAGAAAAGAGGGTGATCAACAGATTTCTTTTGAAACCCTCTATCTTTTACATGAGTAACTAAGTTGAGAATTTACTTTTATAGTATTTAACGTTCTATTTACTAATTTCACCATAATGGATTTTTTGAGGAGAGTTTTTAAGTAAACATGAGGCATCAAGATCCAAAGACAAACAGAAAAATGAGAGAAATAATGGTGAAACTGTGATAGATAATAAAGCCTCAAGGAGAAACTAAGAACAGAAAGACATGTTCATAATTGTACACAATGAAAGTTAACTTTGGGTGAGCCTATGTACAGATTTTTTTGAATTCTCTAACAAGAAATATATTTTGAATTCTCTAACAAGAAATTCTCTAACAAGAAATATATTTGTTCCAAAAATTTTTTCCTTAAAATATCATTGTAAGTTTTGAAATACACCTAAGAGTTCTCTACAAATCATTCCTTTTACTTCACCTAACAATATTTTAGCACTTCCTAGTGTTTGCACACATACTCCATCTTAAATGATGGTTAATTAACTATTGATAGGTCCTGGCATTCTAGGGATTCCCAGGTGACAGCACAGTATTTTTTACTAATAATTTAATGAAAACACTTACATGAATAATGAAATTGTATCTCCCCAGATACACATGCAACTTTTGCAATAGTAATAAAAATAAGCACATCCATACTTCCAGAAAATACTGTGATCTGGCAATGCTCTCACAAAGCAAATCAGCGCACTCATGTTGAAAATGAAGCTCCAGTTTCTGAGGCTATTAAAAGTTTCACATTAAACTATACAACTGTATTATAAGCACATGATAGTAAAAGCACAAATATGGTTATGTTTCAGAAGTTAAAAACATTACTTACTATATAAGCCCCAAATGGTATAAGAGGCATAATTTAAACTTCAGTAATATAGTTTCAAACTTTATAGTCCGAATTAAAATACACACACACACACACACACACGCAATGTACTACAGTAATGCTAGAAAATGATGCAAATAAAATCAATGGTCACTATATAATCACCAAATCAGCAGTCAGGTGACTCAGCCTGCCAACAATTTAAATAAAATCAGCAACCCCTTGATTCAGTGTCTATGCTCGTTCAAGTCAACACTTGCTTTGAAGAAACTGTCACTACAACCAGTTCTTGGCATAAATGAGAAAAAATATTTTTGTAAGGGTTCCAGTGGAAGAATATTATTGATAACAGCCATTACAAACTCTCTTAAACAGAAATATGACTCTGGAGTTAGTAGTCCTAAACTTCGCCTTGTTACCATTTATGATATGACTTTGGAGACATCATGTAACTTCTGAGCCTTGGCATCTTTGTACAATTAGAATAATGACACTTGCAACATTTGTATTTCCAACTTGTTATATACTTATATTACTTACATTACAACACTGTAATTATAACCACTACCACTATTATAGTACTAAGTCCATCATTAATTGAAGCCTTCAATGTGCCATAACTTTGTGACTAGCTTTTTATATACCTTGTTGCTATATTGCAAGTTCACAATAATCCCATAAAGTATTCTAATTTTCTTACTACAGAATGACTTCAAGTGGTTAAAAACTTGTCGTAAGCCACAAAGTTATAAAGAGTTTGAAGATGAATTTGAATTTAAATCTTTCCAACTTCAAATTTCATTTTAGATTCACTATATCCTGTTTCCTCTAACATAAATATTTGTATGTACATATAATTAAAAACATATTATGTATATAATATATATTATTCATTTATACACTCACAATTTAAATTCTAAAGTACTATAGTAGTTTTTTGTTTTAACTTCAGGGCCTAATGCATGAAAACAGTATAGGTACTAAGTCAATATTTGGGGAAAAGAATTACCTCCTATGGGAAGTAGCAAAGATAATTATAAGCAAACTGTTAATTAGCTTGCAGTAGTAACAGTGGCTATTTAAATACTTCTCTTCCAGATTATATTGGTAAAAACTATGACAGGGAAGAAATACACATGAGTTAGCCACAGGTTCAACTCTAGATACAGAACTGAGAATGATGGAAAAGCAGTTTGGTTTTTGTTTGTTTGTTTGTTTGTTTTTTAAATAAGAAAGGGCTGTAATTGGAGGAGATTTCTTTAAAAATTATATGTTTCTGATTTTTCAAAGTGCTAGTACCATATTGTCTTTCAACTTCAGAATTTCAAAAAAGTTCTTGTGTAATAGCCTATCAAAACAAAGTAATAATACTTGCCATATATTTTTCTCCAGACTACTGCACATGAATAACAACAATGATAACTAGATAGTGACATTCAAAAAGAACACTTTTTTTTTGTTCCAGAGTTAAAAGAGAAGGGGGAGGGGCACTAAAATGATGCATATAAGTCTTATTTTTTATCAAAATACACATTGTTACTATGGCAAACACCCTAGGCATCCCCCTAGTCTCCTCCCAAAGCAGGAAGCTGAATGGAAAGATGCTACCCATGAGCCAGTTCAGAGGCAGAACCATATGTCTGGGGAACAGGAGAAGCAGCTGTTTCCATTATCCACTGAACACCTTGGCAATTCTTATTTCATCCTGAGAACATGATACTTACTCTTGGACTGCTCTGGCTATGGAAAGGGCCGTAGATCCAGTTTCATTAACGCTATCTAAGGTCACATTTGGCAGGTCATCATCATCACTGTCACTTTTACTTTGTCTGGGAGATAGGCCTCGGGGGTCCATTTGTGCTGGGAAAAAAAGGCATATATAATGAATTAAAATTAGTGTGCAGAAAGTTAACCTTGTCCTGGACCAACATCAAGCACAGAATATCTCTTCTGTGTATATTACACACATGGAGTTTTCTAGAAATCCCAGGAATTAGGGAAAGTGGCGTATCTGATGTACTGAGCACTCCCCCAGACTCTTTCCCCTTGTTCATCTGATTTACAAAACCTCCATCCACGCTAATAGTTTCCGGGTACGACTGCAGAACAGAAACTATGAAATGCACAATATTACTGACTCCTGAGTGGTCAGAAGCTGATTAGGGAGCTCCTGAGTTACTGTTCAACCCTCTGGCTGCTGCTTACTTCTATTGCCAGAGTTCTGACTGTTTCCCTGTTCATTAGCACTTTGGCTGGAAGGTACAGAACATGAGAGAGAGGAGATTTTATTTGTTTACAGCTCTTATAATAAGCTTAAAGAAGAACAGGATTTACAAGACAAAGTTTGAGGTATTTTTCATTCAGTGAGTCATTGTGTCATAGTTTCTTACTATGGGGGGAGGACATGTGAAGGCAGAAAAGTGACAGCAACTGCAGTGTTTTAAATCTGTATTTATTTGTGCAAGAAAGTGCTCTTCATTCTTCATCCTGAATTCATTTCTCAAAAAGGTATTTCCACATAGGATTCTCTTCCCACTGTGAAGTAGCCAAAGCAAGAAACAGCCCAGTGACCTGACCCCCGCTGACCAGGACTATCAGATCTTTTAAAATGAGAAGATTACCATCAACACTGAATATATTAACACATAATTTTTACAGTTAGATTTTATTTCCACCTCCATCTCTCTATGAACAGCTTTAGCAACCCCTGCCTAGGATACCCATCAACCCTCACCTCAAGCACAAACAAGCACATCTTTTAAATTAAATGTAAGGACTAGCTACACAATTGCATTTCTAATACATGACCCCAATCCTCGTCAGCTGAAACCAGATTGTCCAGAATGCACTTAAAAGTCAAGGTTACAGTAACATTAGGCTACATTTACAACATTTACATTTTCCTTACATCTTTTTTTTTTTTTGTCAGCGCTGTATCTCTTATATTAGGTAGGGAAATGCTGATATTTCATCATATTTTATCTACAAAGAGACCATTTCTTATGATCCTACTTATATATTTTTTTTAAAGATTTATTTATGCATACAAGAGCTGGGGTACAGGCCAGAAATGGGGGGGGGGTGAGAGGATTCACCAGAGACAGAGTGGGGAACAGAACAGGCAGACTGAATGAAATACACTGCAGAGGGGAGCACTGGTCGAGTCAGGAGAGGTCTGCTGCACCATGTGGGTTGCTCCCTGGCAGGCCGGGGATCGAACTCATGCTACAGAGGCTGGGGATAGCTTCATAGTGTGGTGCTTAACCCCTTGAGCCACCAGGGAGGCCCTACTTAGGGAGTTTTAACAGATTTTTAACTAAACTCAGGAAGCAACTTAGATCTTTTAAACTTAGAGGGCGGGCCTCCCCGGTGGCGCAGCGGTTGAGCGCTGGGTTGCGAAGCTGCGCGCGGCCTCCGCAGCGCCGGTTCGATCCCCGGCTGCTCCCCGGCCACCGAAGGAGGGTCCCACATGGCGCGCAGACCTCTCCTGCCGCCCGCTGCTCCCCTCAGCAGTGTCCTTCGGTCCTTCTGCCTGCTCTGCTTCCCGCTCTGGCTCTGGTGAATTCTCTCACCCTCCCGCGCTTCTGACTGTACCCAGTGCATGTATAAACAAAACAAACAAACAAACAAATAAATAAAGCACGCCTCTATAAAAAAAAAAAAAAATAAATAAAAAAATAAACTTAGAGGGCGCCAGTGTATTGGACACACGTCCTGCCTGTATGTATAAACATATTTAAATGTACTTTGAACAATTAAAGCGAAATGCTTGGTAAATGTTGAATTCAAGAGAAACAATTCAAATAATTTCAAGTCAGTAACCTCAACTGAGAGCAAATTATGTCTGGAGACATTCTGATTTGTTACAACTTTTGGGGAGGGGAAACAAGGCTGACATCCAGTGGGACAGCCAAAGATCCTGCCAGACATCCAGTACATAGGATAATCAGTCCCACAAGACAAAGAACAAACCAGTCAATAGTATCCGGGTTGAGAAACTCTTGACACAGAAATTTAAGAGTTTGGAGCTCTAAATGTGTAACAAGACTTTCAATTGTATAGCTATGTTCTAATGTCAAAGTTACTAACAAAGAAATGAAACAAAGAAACATAGTCATATACTAGATTTTTTCTATTTTCTGGCTCTGTCCTCAAAGAAAACAATTAGTTGTCATATGATTCGCATTCACAGTTTCCACAAAGACAGCATTTACTTTCTCGAGTGCCAAGAATTATGCATTAGAAATCATGAAGAGATTTTTTTTTTTTTTTTTGAGGGAGGGAGTACCACATGTGGTGCGACAAAAAGTGTACTTCCCATCTGATCTCAAGATTACCTGGAAGAGGAAAGTAAGCAGTTCCACAGCCACCTGCTAACAGAGAGCGACTATAACATTCAGTCAGTCCAAGCCACTGAAGCTACCATGTTATTTAAGATGACTTTGGCTGCAGGCAATAGAAACTGGCTCAGGCTAATTATATTAAGGAGAATGTACCGGGAAGATATTGAGAAGTACTGAATGGAAGGTAAGGATGAACAAACAGCACTTAAGTAGCACAGGATCCAGGGGGTGATAATAGGTATTTCAACCAGGATTTCAAAGACAGTTTCTTTTCTGGGGTAATCTTGTTATAGAATGATTCATTTAGCAGTCATTCATAACTACTCAAATTCAGCCAAGAAAATGAGTATCAGATCTAGCTAGGCTTCCAAATCACATATTGTGTGGTGCTACATAGCCTGTAAATGTCAACAATTTAACATTTAAAGTTGTTGAAACATCATGCACTGAGACTCTTTTGCCAAAATACTAAGTTAACAAATAGCTAAACAAAAGAGAATTTTCTAGTGGCTGCATTCTGTCCAAGACAACTAGAGCTTTATAGGTAAGTAATGCAACTTAAGGATGATCCAGGCAGTTAACCAATAAGCAATTTGGCACTGAAAGATAAAGTGTAGTTGCATGAGCAATTCCAAATAACTGGGAAGAGAGTTGATCATCTGAATTATGTTTTTATATCTTACCAAAAGTTTAAAATATGTTAAATATGATATATTTTTTGATGTGCTTTTCAGGAACATTATAATTGAGAATTTCTTTCCAATATTTTCAATAAATATTATGAACTACATCTGCTACCATCATGCTGGAACTCTTTTTACCCATACCTTCAGCCAAGTTGAGGAAGTAATTAGAAAGGCTTTCTAAAATCTGCATTGCTGATTAGGTCAGATGATTAGCTTATCTACATACTTGCATAATTCCACTCTATTTTTATTAAGTGTGGGATGGAGACATCTATCCTAGCTAACCTCTATTAGTCTTTGAGTTTCTCAATCCATTTAGCAAGGACTGAATTTCTGGGGTGCCCATACCAAGAAAATGCAATTATTACTTGGGTAGAAAAAAACAAACAAAAAACAAAACAAAAAAAACCCTGTATCTACTTCCTAAGTAAGAGAACAGCAGATGACATATAAGTATCTGAAAATAATTTACATTTGAAATTTTGTTCCTCTCAAATTACTGTTTTGGCTATTCTAGTTCCCTGTTGATGGTGGAGTCATTGGCTTGAGTTGGAGTTATCACAGAACTCTGTGAGCTTTAGAGCATGTGACAAAATCCCTGGGAAGAACTCTAGAACTTAGTACCTAAAATTGAACTTATTTACTCTTTCAAACACCACCTAAGGGAAACTGATATTGTAAAGATTTCGTAACAAATCATGCCTCCCTGAATCAGGCCCACAGCCTGCAATGACTTTGGATTTGTCTCTATGACCTGATGTGATTTTATGTGACCTTAGTAAATGTGACTCAAGTAGTAGCTTGAACAGCACTTACATATTGGGTTTCCTCTCTCTTGCTGGTCTGGAACCTAGCCATCACATGAAGTAGCACAGGAAAACCGAAAAGAGACAGGCTGTTCAGCTGGCAGTTAACCCAGCTAATGTCCATGAGCCATTATAGATCACTGGTCATATTCTCACCACGGATGACTTCAGTCATGTGAGGGTCTCCAGGTGAGACCAGCTTGAGAACTGTCTGGCTAAACCCATACCAAATTTTTGACTCACAGAACTGTAAGAAGCAACTGATGTTATTTTAATCTACTAAATAAAGGTATAACTTGTGATACAGTAATACAAAGTCAGTGTTAGATGTTACTTTCCTAGCTTCTTCTAGAGATTTCCTGATCAGGATGTCGACAATCTGTGGCTAAAATTATAGTCAGCCTATCAAATACCTTTCCATTCTCCTCCCAAGAGATAACCTGGCATTATGTGGCATCAATTTAAGTGGGATATTAATTTTAAAAAAAGAAAATAAAAGCTATGCTCTATATTTTACATCATTCACCTCTCAATCCAAAATATTAAAAAATAACAGGTATTTGGATATTAGAGGCATGTTCTCTGATCCTTGACCATGCCTCAGGCAGGATTCTATTAAAAGGAGCCATCTGGTTGGCAATATTGCCCCTGAGAACAAATCCTTTCTACCCCTATTCTCAAGCTCAGTGCTGAGTTGACAGGAAGTTTATATGGATGGATCCTCCTAAGTATGTGGCTATTCAATCTGTATTTCCTATGTTTGCTCCTTTACAACTCACATGAGACCTTTAAACTTTATTCTCCCTCCACAAAATAATGGCTTAACACAGTCACATACAGTGGCATCAGGATCCAGCCCCACCGCCTCCCCCAGTCTAGGTGCTATCAAAATATTAAAGGCTCTTGTAAGTTTCTTAGAAATAAACTATTTCATTCAGTTATTCTTAAAGGAAGTTTTTCCATAAATCACCATATTCGGTGTAGACAATATAATAACCTATGAACATTCACTGAAACTTACAGGC